GAGATTCATTGAACTTTTCAATGGCATGTTTCAATCTCGAGTGTGTCCTTCAGGTTTTGTGACTGGGATGCCGAGGATCACAAAACAAGGTGTGAAGTAACCATGCAAATATACTTGGTACCCTTAATATTTACCCCTCAATCGATGTGCCGGTTAACCACACACGCTCCAACGATACTATGATAAACATTAAGTTACCCTTTGCCTACCTTGTTATGTCCAGGTTAGTGTGCCGGTTAACCACACATGCTCCACTAACAGCTTAAACAAAGTGCAAAGTGTAATTTCATGGATTAGCACCTTTTTCACATTTTCCTAAGTAACTAAGATTGGGAATTTATAAGTGTTTAGTTACTTAGTATTTATCATTATACTTATAATGAAGGGAGAATTATAGTCCTTGTCCTACCTGTTCGGCTAACGACCCTCCACCGGTCAAGGAAGCGGGGAGTGAGAGTGGACACCCATTAAACTGCCATTTTATAGGCAGTAACCGTATACCCCCCTTATAGACCGGCTTCGTGAATGAGGCCTACTAATGGTAAGACGACTTGCTCTTATACATATAATATATTAAACTTTTAATATTATAATAGTATAAGGGTGAATTTTAGACATTTAAAATACTTGGTGGTTTAATCTATTAATTAAACTAGACTTTTAATTTAATTAAACTCAAACCAGATATTTATGGATTTAATAATACTCTTTTAATTAAACGCTTTAATTAACTATTAATAAAGTCCATAAGAGTTAATTTGAACTATTCAACAAAACATCATAATTCCAATTATTAAACTCAAAATTAAAACCATTTAATTAATTGTTTAAGTTATGAACCCAAGAGTTTTAGAATTCAATTCTTTTTTTTCATAAAAAACTTTTCTCAAATTCCAAAACTTGAGGGCAAGTTTTGTAACTCTTGAAAACTTTTGGATTCCATAACTTATGGAGTTAAATACTTGTTTTATGATGAAACTTTTCATGTTCCATAACTTAAGAACAAGTTATGGAATTCTTTAAAACATTAAGACCAAGTTTTGTAACTCCATAAAAAACTTTGAATCAATTTTTTTTTTTTAAAAAAACTTTCATATCCATAACTTATGGAAGTTTCAAAAACCCTTAAGATCACAACTTTAAAAAAAAACTTTTGAGCTCCAAAATTTTGTGACAAAATATGTAACTCCTTAAAATATTTAGATCAAACTTTTAAAACTAATAAAATAATCATATCATTTTATCTTTTACTAAATTTGACCTAATTCAACTCATATAACAAATGATTCAAGTTTTACAAATAATTCGTTTTTCACAAAACAAGTAATTATCTTAAAATTTGACAAACGTCATGTTTTTTTTCCTTTTTTTTTCAACTTGAAAATAAAACATTTGCATCAATATAACAGAAAACAACCCATGGCTCTGATACCACTGTTGGGTTTTGAGCATTCTAACACTCATATGGTGTACATGCAACCCTATAAACCTTAGATCTATGTTTTCTCTATTATACATGCAAATATTAACTATTCCAAGGTTTCATCCTAACTAGCATATTATGAAGCACCTATACTACAAAGTTCTAGTTAGATGACATACCTTTTGATGTAGCTTGATGTCTTCAAGCTTTAAGAGCTTAGCCCCAATAGTGTGGAAGCCTCAAATGGAATCACAAATCACCAAAACACCTTGGAAGAACTTGAGAGAATATGTATGCACACTAAAATCGGCCCACTCTTATTTTCACACACTTGTGCCAATTTTGTGAGCCAAGGACCCCTTTATATATTATGGAGGATTAGGGTTACATCCATGTAAACCCTAATACCCATGACCTTTCATTTACATAGGATCCAAGGGTTAAAAGCTCCATGGACCATCCATGAAAGCTTAGCCCAACCTAAATGAACTTGGCCCATTCCATATATATAAGAGTCCATATTTAATTAGTTCTTTGTGATCACTTAATTATATCTAAATTAATTCTTGATCAATACTAATTAAATAATATGGTTCCATATTAATATATTAGTACTTATAATATATTAATATAAATCATAAATATATTATTCTCAAAAGACTATCCATATAAACTGTGTCGGTGAAGTGCAACCCAAATGGACCATGCCGGGGCGGGTCAAGTACATACCAAATATAGTTATGGACTTAGACATTAATCCAACAGTACCATGTTAACCAATGGCCCATATTTCATCCATATGTCATCCATGGACACCATAAGCCACTACCATGTTGACCAATGGCCCATATGTCATCCATATAGACGATAAGCCACTGCCATGGTGACCAATGACCCATAATTCATCCATGGACACCATAAACCACTACCATGTTGACCAATGGCCCGTATGTCATCCATATACACCATAAGCCACTACCATGTTGACCAATGACCCATATGTCATCCATATGTCATCCATATACACCATAAGCCACTACCATGGTGACAAATAACCCATATGTCATCCATGGACACCATAAGCCAGTACCATGTTGACCAATGACCCATATGTCATCTATATGTCATCCATGGACACCATAAGCCACTACCATGTTGACCAATGGCCCATATGTCATCCATATACACCATAAGCCACTACCATGGTGACCACTGACCCATATGTCATCCATGGACACCATAAGCCACTACCATGTTGACTAATGACCCATATGTCATCCATATACACCATAATCCACTACCATGTTGACCAATGACCCATATATCATCCACATGTCATCCATATACACCATAAGCCACTACCATGGTGACCAACGACCCATATGTCATCCATGGACACCATAAGCCACTACCATGTTGACCAATGACCCATATGTCATCCATATGTCATCCATGGACACCATAAGCCACTACCATGTTGACCAATGGCCCATATGTCATCCATATACACCATAAACCACTACCATGTTGACAAATGACCCATATGTCATCCATATGTCATCCATGGACACCATAAGCAACTACCATGTTGACCAATGACCCATATGTCATCCATGGACACCATAAGCCACTACCATGTTGACCAACGACCCATATGTCATCCATGGACACCATAAGCAACTACTATGTTGACCAATGACCCATATGTCATCCATGGACACCATAAGCCACTACCATGTTGACCAATGACCCATATGTCATCCATGGACTCCATAAGCGACTACCATGTTCACCAATGACCCGTATGTCATCCATGGACACCATAAGCAACTACCATGTTGACCAATGACCCATATGTCATCCATATCTCATCCATGGGTATAACATGGACACCATAAGCAACTACCATATATTTTTACATGACCCGTACGTCTTTTGTATATAAATTTCGGTTTAAACATAAAATCATAAAGATGTATAGTTTATTAATGTTTAATCCTCGTTTATAATTTTATATTAAAATTATAGTATGAGCACATCGTTAGTCTATGTTCTTTCTTGACGTTACCTATATGTATATACCCTATCTATCAATCTGTAACTACTTTAATAAATTTGAATTACTAAATATTTAGCAGTAATTACCACAGTTCGAATTTTTGATTAGCGGAGGTTCAAAATATTTCGCAATTCCTTTCCCTCCAACCTATACACGTTTATGATGCATATTATGGTAAGTTTACTGATTAGAAAATAGGCTTTACATTTTCTGTAATCATCATATACAGCGGCTAATTGATCGAAATCTTTGTTCATTATACGTTTGTGCACTGACTTTCGCGATATAGGCTGTCACTCATCTAAAATTTATTTTTATTTAATTTACTGTTATCGTGATGATCGATCATTTTTTGTTCTCTGATCATTTTCATGTATATTATCATCTTAAATTACAAGTAAATTGGTTTTGATTGTATTCAATAGTTTGCATGCATAGTAATGCCTTCATATAGAATTTATTTTTATTGTTTGTGTCTTTCTTGTCATCATTAGTTTATCATCTTTAATACATTGGTATTGACTACACTTTTTGTTAATTTTTAAGCAAGAAAGATGTCGAACTCGAAAGCAAAAGGAGCATCCGGTGTGAAGCCAACTAAATTCATTGCACCACAGGTTATGAAACGCAACAGGATTTCAGCTGCAAAATTCGTAAACAGACAGTTACAAGATGAAGAAATCGACTTCCCAATACCAACAACATCCAAATCACCTATAACATCTACCAACAAAACCCCTAAACCTATATCATTAACATCACCCATGACTACCACTTCCTCGGCATCACTTACAACATCCACACCCTCCTTAGAAAATACATCTAAAACTTCAGAAACTGGAACAATACAATCCTCAACACTTACATCAATAACCAAAACTTCAGCACCTACATCATCTAAACCATCCTCAACACCGACACCCACTACCACATCATCAACACCTATATCTACTACCACAACCTCAAAACCTGCATCTACACCACCATCCTCCACAACTACAGTAACTACCACACCCTCCTTAAGTAAAGGAACTACCACATCCTCAACAGATACGTCTATCCCAACACCTACCCCAGAATATACCCCATCAACAACACCTACCCCATAATATACCCCATCAACAACACCTATCCCAGAATCTACCCCATCACCAACACAACCAACCATGAATGGATCTGTAGTGGAAAGTGTAGAAGGTGAAAACAATTCCTCTGAAGATTGTGGACCAGATGGACGTTTAACTGTTCATGTTTGGAAAAAAACGTGAGTTACCAATAAAATTTTAATTACAACTTTTTCTATGTATAACCTTTTATATATAAATTCATAACTTAACACATCACATGATTAGTTACTTGCAGGCTAATGCCACCAGGCCCTTGTGCACACTTTATTAGTCGGTCCGTTTTACAAAGAGTAGATCCAGAAGGGTACTCTTAGGGGAAAGTAAGCAATGAAATGTGCGAATTATATTGGTAGGAGTTTTAGGTAATTGTAAACATTAACATTTGTCAAAATGTTAAACACTGTAGATAAGAGCACATCACGCTACAGTGCATTTACACTGTAGCCTATAGACTTTGTTCCACTTTCTCCCGTACTCCCTGTTCCCCCACTCACGCTCTCTCTCTCTCTCTCTCTCTCTAAAGAAATTCATCAGTTCGCTTGAAAGCGCCTTCTCCTGTGCTCTCTCTTCCCCACCATCCCTTCAAAACTTCTCACACGCTTCGTGAAAAATCTATCGGTTCTCACTCGAAGAACCTTGATCGTCACCTCCACCACGAACATTGACGCGGTGGGTCTGGCGGCTACAGGCATCGGGAGTCATCAGATCAAGTGGGTAACTAAGCCCATGGTCTTCAAATGTTCGTGAACAGGAACAAAACCCGGCTAATGAGTAACATCTCTCTCTCTCTCTCTCTCTCTCTCTCTCTCTCTCTCTCTCTCTCTCTCTCTCCTCGCTTAGGGTTTTGGGTAAAGAGATGAAATTTGGCTGTCATAGTCTTGATAAAAAGCTTGAATCTTATATTACATGATTGTTCTTTTGTTCTTTCAGATCCACGCACCTAACAAGGAACAAAACTCAATTTTCTTTTGTTCTTTGAGACCCACACAGGTAAAAATCCCATAAGTTTTTAAATCAATGTTAGAAGTGGGTTTGTTAATCTGTGTTGTTTTTCATTTTTGATTTTTGAGCTTGGATCTGGATGAAGATTAACAAGATCGGGAAAGAAGGGTTTTTCGATTTGGAGCAGGTAACAAGCAATTTCTTTTTCCAGATCTTTCAGTGAAATCTTGAAACGAAATCGTTTTCTGCATCCTCGATTTCGTCTCTTTTTTCATCATTGATTTTGGTTTTTGTTTAGGGATTTATAGCATATCTGGAAACCGTATTATTTCAGGTGAAAACATGTATATTTTAATGTAAACCATAACATGTTCAACTATATTTTCATCAGTGTTCAACCCTCCCCATACAATACACGTAATGTGCCGCATAGTCCATTCATTGTTATATCTCTTCCTTGACATGCGACGTGTGGATCTTTATGTTAGAACTTAGAACTCATTTACAGTGTACTCAAATTATATTAAGTCTAGAAACTCTGAGGGTTTGGATTCACTAAATACTAAATAATACTCTTAATTTCAGAATATAAGCCAGTAAGAAGATTGTGCAATTACATAGCTCAGTTGTTCAAATTAATAACGGCAAGATGATCCATTTAATGAAATTTACATGTTAAAGCACAATGCGTGTAGCTAATGGTGACTTCCAATTTGTGAGTAGAAGAAGCAGAAAAATGACTACCCAGGTTAGAAAACATACAACTTTTAAAGCATGAGGTACGATTGATCAAGGTTCTGACAAAAAAAATTAACGTTTCAGGCCATAGTGGTTCGATCCTAATGAAATTGAAGGTGTATAGGAGCTAGAACAAGATCTGCTTCATTTGAACACCAAGTTTCAATCGTTTGCCATCTCCATCTAAAAAAAAATCTCTTTTGATTTTGTTTCTATGATTTGATATAGGTTGCAGGTGGAGGGTCTTCTCTGGGATACCAGTTTGTTGACGGTAAGAACGGATATTATTGTAAAATATGATAATAAGGTATTTATTTGCCATGGGTTTGTTTGGATTATATGTGTGGTCCAAAGAAAACTTAGCAGATTTTGAAATTAAGAATTGTAATATATGTTTGTTCCTAATTTCTCATAATGACAGTTACCATGCCTATAATTTCTTTGGTTTGATTTTATGTTTTTCTATCTGCAACAGAGACAAGGTTAGTTTCATTTTTTTCTTAATTTTCTATCTACATATTTTCAGGTTTCGTCCCGTTAGTAGACTATTGGTGGATGTGAAGGCGGGCAAGGTTCAATTTCATGTTTTTTTCTTAGTTTTCAATTTATTATCTTTGGCATTATAGCGAATGAGTAGGGCCATAACCATATGGTTCTCATTTCCTAGATTATCAATCATATATTCATATCGGTCCCGATGTTCACCCCTATTTAGGAGAAGGATTATATTTTCTAAGAGAGTTTTGCATTGATAAGGAAGTTCAACTAATTTATTGTAAAAGTTCGTTTGTTGGTATTTTTATAAAGATACTCAAGCTTGATCAGTATGATAAGTGTGAATTACTTGGTCTTTTAGAAGTCCTCGTCTTTCCTAGCTGGAATAAATTGCATATCTTTTCAATTTTTCTGTTTTGTAAACAAGGCCTACAGTGAGTATATCCTAATCTATACCCTTTTTGAATTTTTGTTTTTGATGAAATGAAATTGTCCCCTGGTGTGGAGCATGGTCTTGGGTATCTAACGCTTACTAAGATGCAAGTAGTCACGCCAACAGGTATGACGGTGGTTTGTTTTTCAATGAAGTTTTCATATTATGGAAATTGAAAGTTTGTTTTTCAATGGATTGTTTATATTGCGGAAAATAAAAGTGAGTATATTCTGACGCATGCCCATGTTAATATTTGTTGCAGGATCCGTATATAGTGGAGGTGACTTCTACAAAACACTGCGATGTCTTTATTGTTTGGAAAACACTTTCTTTGTAACATACTAATAACTCCATAACCAGCTTATCAATGTAAAACATTGATGTCATAAACTGTTGTAAATTGCAATGACCTAAACATTATATTATTCTTTCCCCAAATAAAATAGTTACATCCAATCACAGTAAATGCTCAATCAAACCAACATGCTGTCTTTTGGTTATAATAAAACAATAATATCTTAATAGGTTTGAATTTAAAAAGTCTAATGCTATAATCATCGGGAGTTTCTAAGTCCAATGCCTAAATAGGAAAACAGAAATGCATTGCATAAATATGTTAGATTTTCAAATTCTAATGTCATAATAAGAAAAAAAATGGAATTAATAAATCAAAATAACTTATTGTATCACAAACTTTATTGCTTTAAGTCCCGCAACAACGCACAGCTTAAAAACCTCGTTAACTATATGTGATAAATTGTTGTTTGGTAAACATTTACACTTAAACTTATGTTTATATTGTTAATGTAGAAAAAATGTTGTTGGGATGAAACAATAGACTCGCAGGTGAGGCAAGCTTAGGCAAGGAAAGCGACACCAAGTTATGGTCAATATCTCTTCAACATGCGGAGCCCAAAAAGAAACAAACATGGCTTTAAACCAGCTCATATCCACAGGAATGTAGAAGAATACAAGCTAAAATCTGAGCAGAACAAGGAAAAATAGGCGTAACGGTGTGGTTGATGGAGTAGCAAAACCTACACATAACGCTAGATCCGCAAGTCATTTGAAGATAGCTTCTGATTTCGTAATTTTTTTAATGGTACATTGTATCAATGTGTATATATGTTTATCTGTATGTTTGCCATTTTATATGGTATTTATGCAGAAGAGGAAATTAGTACGTGATCCACCCTAGAGTGAATTGTTCATGTATACACACACGAAGAATCACGATGGAGTCACTTTCACAAATGAAAAAGATCGACAAATTCATGTAATATTCATTTCAGTGTTAAACTTTTATATTGTAGCTACTCCATAATATCATTCATAAATTTGATATCTTTTAACTTATATTATTTTTATTTTGTAGGCGGTCTATACAGAAAAACGGGAAGAGTTGGAAGTTGAAGTTGATGAATTTGAGGAAGCCAAGTTATTTTATTCTTTTGTTGGTGGTCATGACAAAAAAAAGAAGACTTTATGGATTAGGCTCTTTTGCAAAGGCGGTTCCCAATAGGAACGGTAAAACGGATGTATGTTACATTCCGGAAAAAAATGATGAAATAGAAGAAATGAGGGAGCTTGTTACTAAACAAAAACAGCAAAACGATGAGCTTAAAGAAATGATGAACGCCCAACAAGAGGAAAACAAAGCAAGGGTCGGGCATCTTGAAAAACAACTTCAAACGACATTGGATCTTATTAATGTCTTTACAAAACAACAACAGTAGTAGGTTGATATATGTTTATTGCAGATTATGTATTTTAGAGTAGCAACTTTCTTTTTTCCGTGTAATAAATAATTATTGTATTATTTTATGATATAATGGTTTTGATTTTTTTTTGTTTTTTTTTTGTTTTTCATATATTACTACAAAATAATTTGGATATAATTTATAAATCAATTAGCCATCGGTCCATATGGAATCTGGTATATAATAAACACCACTAAAATTTCTAGGGATTTATGACCACAGAATTTGCTAGGAAGTCATCAAACGGAATTTGCTAGGGATTCATGACCACAAAATTTGCTAGGAAATCATCAATCAGAATTTGCTAGGGATTCAGCACGACAGAATTTGCTACGGAATCACCACCATAGAATTTACTATGGAATGACCACCATGTAATTTACTAGGGAATGACCACCACAGAATTTACTAGGGAATCACCACCACATAATTTGCTAGGGATTCATCACCACATAATTTGTTAGGAAATCACCACCACGGAATTTGCTAGGGAATCGCCACCATGGAATTTGATAGGGAATCACCACCACAGAATTTGCTAGGGAATCACCACCATAGAATTTGTGATGGAATAACTACCACAGATTGTGCGATGAAATCCTACTACGGAATACACGACGGAATACCACCTACCACGGATTTCATTCCGTTGTCACATTTGTGACGAAATTATCTTTTCCGTTGCAAACCCTCGCTACGGCATTTTTAGGGATGGAAATAGGTCGTTGCAAATTCTGTCGCTATTCGTCTTTGCAACGAAATTTCAGCTTTTCGCAACGGATTCCTTCTGTAGCAAAAACGCGTTTTTCTTGTAGTATATACATATGATATATAGAGACATTATTATCTCAAGATTCAACAAAACTATTTTTTTAAACTCTTTATATATGAATCACAAATCTCTTCAAACATATGAAATTTTTTTTTGACAAACTTTTATTTATATACTACTAATAAGAGTTACAAAGTGTATAAATGAGAGGAAAACAAAAGGTTATTAGTTATTAGTAATTAATAAGCATAAAATAAAAACTTTTGAGTTGTGAGTACTAAATATAGATAAACTAGAAAAATTTTGAGTTGCAGCTGGTGTTTAAAATGAATGTGATGTAGCAATAGGTTTTTAATTGCTGATTAATTGAAGTTTATAAAAAAAATAATCTTAGTTCGTGGTCATTATTCGGTCAAAATGATCAAAATAGTCAAACTATATATATTTATTAAAATTAACTCTTTTATAAGTTAGGATCCCCAAATAATCCATACATAGGGCGATTACTCATTTGATCCTAGTCGGCCGACTATTTCTTTTTAGTGATTTTTACAATATATATATATATATATAATATATATATATATATATATATATATATTATACTGTTGGTAAAATTAGTTCAGACAAAATATTAATCATTGCCTAGACACTTCGCGGTGTCCATCCACCTAAGAATAGATGTAATTTGTCGTGTCATTGATCCTAGTCGGCCGACTATTTTCTTTTTAGTGATTTTACAATATATATATATATATATATTATCTATATATATATATATATATATATATATTATAGTGTTGGTAAAATTAGTTCAGACAAAAGATTAATCATTGCCTAGACACTTTGCGGTGTCCATCCACCTAAGAATAGATGTAATCTGTCGTGTCATTTGATCCTAGTCGGCCGACTATTTTCTTTTTAGTGATTTGTACGATATATATATATATATATATATATATATATATTATATATATTATATATATATCTATATATATATATATTATTAGTGTTGGTAAAATTAGTTCAGACGAAAGATTAATCATTGCCTAGACACTTCGCGGTGTCCATCCACCTAAGAATAGATTTAATCTGTCGTGTTAGGTAGTTGTTATTAATCGGGATTGATGGTCATTAACTGTTCAAAATTAGTCAACGAAAACTATTCGAGATTGGTGGTCATTAATCGGTCAAAATTATGTAGAATGTTGGTTTTCAACTAGTCTCTACTCAGTCCGATTAATCCATTAACGCAAATTGACCGACTAGTTAATGACTAGCGATATATATATATATATATATATATATATATATATATATATATAATATATATATTTGCGCATGTTAAAACTATATAATTAAAATTTTAACAATTATATAAATATATATTTGAAATGATTATGTGATTGACATTAGGTATAAAATAATAATTCTTACAATAAAGTAATATATATTTGTGCATGTTAAAACTGTATAATTAAAATTTTAATAATTATATGTATTTGAAATGATTATGTTATAGACATTAATTATAAAATAATAATTCTTACATTAAAGTAACATATAAAATTATAGTAACTATTTTGAACAATATTAAACATTGGCCTCTAATTGCGGCTTGTACATGAATATATCATAAATATAATTCTTGGTTATTGTTATTTTTAACTATTGTTAAACTTAATTCATTTAAACTTTACTTATTTGAACATATTTTAGTTTCAATCGTAATGATTGTTTAAAATATTTGTTTAGAAGATAATTTTGTATAATATTTAATTTTTTTGTCACTATTAGCTATTAATGTTAAAGTTAAAGTTATTCTGAAAAAATAAATTAAGTAATCTCATTCTTGAAATTCTTAAAACATATAAATGTGAAATAGAATAAACTTGGATTTGAGTTACAAATGACATATAACGGATTTATAAATAGAATAATCTAATTGTGATGTTTATTAATTTCTTTTTTATATTTTCACATTCGATAATGTTTGTATGGTCTTATAATCTATTAAATATATCTGAAATTGTTAATTTACGCTAATAATTTATAACAAAATACAAATTAAAAACTTTAATATCATAACATAGTTCCAAAAAGTAGCCAAAAAACTCAAAATAACACAAAACTATTACAAGTTTTCTCTTCTTTATATGTGTACTAGGCGAATACCCGCGCGTTGCGCATAATACAACAATATATTTGAAATCTTTACATATATATGTTTTTTTAAATATATATCAATGACGTTG